TTTTTTCAGGTTATAGCTAAGCTTAAATCAGCTTGTAAGTATGGCTAAGATATGGATCAAAATAAAACCTTAAAAGGGGGATGAAGCATACAAGGGTGTAGATGACCTCTAACAGAAAAAACTCCTTAAACAAACTTCAAGAGGAGTTCAAAATAAGACCTTTTCCATTTTATTACAAAGTTCGAAAATACTTGCAAGTATGGCTAAGCTATGAAGCAAGATAAGCCTTAAAAAGGGAGATGAGTGTGTTACCCTTGTAGCCAAGAACTCCAGCAGCCTTTGGTCCCAAAAACCAGTCCCTTAGCCTCTGAAAACATGCTCCAAGATGCTTGGACGGATGATGGAGAGGTTAGGTTATGAGGTGTGGGGTAATGGAGCCAAGAACCTTACACTTTGAAGCTAAAATGGAGGAGATATAGAGGGACAAAGAGGGATATATGTGTATATGCCCTAACCAAGTTCTGAACCTGGTATATGGAGAGGGGAGCCTTCCTTTATAGAGCCAAGAGAATAAAGCTTTTCTTAGAAGCTTCAAACCAAGAGCAAAGATCCTCCATACACTGTATAGAGGATCCAGTCTGTGCCCTCTAGTTGGCACAGCTGGCATCCATTCAATCTGTAGAATACACCGGAAGGTCGTCGGCTAGAAAAATTGGTTGGCCGGCTACTTTAACTGGTCGGTCGGCCATCTATTTGGTCAGTCGGCTATCTGTTCTGGTTGGTCGGCAGGAAAAATCTGCTCTGCAGGTCCAACTTCAAACGGGCATAACTCCTTCATATGAACTCCTTTTCAGGTCATTCTTGTGTCCAAATTGAAGCCCCGGAAGTAAGATTTCTAATGGGGCAAACCTTGCATAAAAATTCCAACTGTGAAAAAAGTTATGCTTGTTTTGGTGAAGGTTGCTCAGTTTCGGTCCAACCGGAATGATGCCCAACTTCAGCCAATCATATCTCCCCCATCCGGACTCGGCTTTAAGAGATTCTTGAATGAAAAATGAAGCCCCGGAAGTCTTCTTTCCAACGGTGGTAGCCTCATAGCTTAAATTCAAGTGCATAGACAGATAAGCCTGATTTAGCGAGGACCGCTCGACTCTCTCTCTTAGCGGTTCATACCCAACTTCTTCCTCAGCTAGGTTTCTTCTCTCTTCTCCTCTTTTCTTTAACTCCAAACCCCCGAACAAGGTGTTTTGAAAGATTTTTCAAAGATTTCATCTCTCTTTCATTCATTTCCACTTTGTCCTTGCTCGGTTTATCGAAAAGTGCATCGTTTGACAAAATGTGAGCCTCGGAACATTGTAGAAATTTTATTTCAAAGATGTTTTGAAAGAGAGGATTTTAAGGTCTAAAAACCATCCAAAATAGCTTTGGGCCAAAATGGGGTGTGGAGTTGAGAATTGTCCCTTTCCTTGCCGAAAAAACTGAACCTTTCCCCTACACACCTTTCTCTACCAAGTAAACCATCAGTAACGCCCAAGTCTTGGGGGCGGTCAAAAATAGGGTGTCTACACGCTCGAGCGAGGAACTCCATGCTCGAGCGTACACTCTGAGTACATGCATCCCGCTCAAGCGGGGAAAGTAACGCTCGAGCGTGAAATGCGTGTATCCACTACTTTTCATATTTTTACAGTCCGCTCGAGCGAGGGAATGCACGCTCGAGCAAGGACTTGTGCTTCACGCTCGAGCGGAGGTCAAGCACCCATCGAGCGTGAATTGCATACATCCAGTACTTTTCATGAGTTTACAGTCCGCTCGAGCGAAGGAAGTCACGCTTGAGCAGAACTCCTTTGTCTGCATGTCCGCTCGAGCGTAGAAAGCCACGCTCGAGCGAGACCCCTGTTTTCTGAAAATTCTGAAAAGTGTTTTTAAGTACATCTTTGCATCCTCATTCCATCATAGGCATTCCTAGGCCTAGTTTAAGGCATCTTAAAGAGGATATTGCTATAGAACCACACCGAGTCAAGATAGAGACTAAGTTATTGTTTCCCAAACGTGCAACTTAGTGTGTGTTCATCCTGTAACTGTGTAGGGTTGGCATCTGAGGACGCTCACTAGCCTATCTGTAGCCCAGAACTCTGTGAATAACAATGTCGTAAAGATATATTCAATCATGAATATTTTCTGAATGATCAACTGTACTGCTTTCTGAAATGATATTTCTTACTAAATGAATGCTTGTCCTATTTGCGAACTGTATTCGTGGCATCCATATCAATTTACTGTTACTGTACTGTACTGTTACTGTCACAGAAATCTCTGTCGGTTCCCATGTTTGGAACCATTATTGTTTACTGATATGATGGCCATCAACTGACTGTTCGGTCTATTAAGACCTACTGTACTGTTTATTATTGGATGTACCACTTATGACTGCTATGATCGAATAACTGATATGCTGTTCAAATGACTGTTTTATATACTGGAAGGACATTCATTCCTAACCTCTTTACGCATATGTCATTTACTAAGTTTTCGCTCACTATTTATATATATATGTAGGTGTCCAGGCACCGGATCAGAGCTAGGAGCATTGGGTTAAACTCCCTTTTTGTCAAGCCAATCAACATGCCTCACTGCGAGGTTCCAAGTGTGTTCAAACTTAGGCTTTTTGGGGTGTCTCAGTTCACCCTTCTGTCCCTGTTTTGTAATACTGTATAGACTTGTACTGTACTGTTATGGTAGGGATTTGGTCCCTAACCTGAATGCCTATATATGATGTATGTACATACTGCTTTTGTTCCGAATGTGAATGTGTTATGAAAAGTCTTTTTGCATACAGACTGTCACAGCTCATTGGACATCTTTCATTTACTGTTTTGGCTTCCGCCAACCCCTGTACTCTGTATTACTGTTATTACTGTTAAGCAGTCCTTTGGTAATCACGAATTACTGGCCGGTTACAGTGCTAAACCCATAGGGGCGGGTTTGGGTGATGACAAAAAATTACATTCCTATCTTTGTGGCTAATAATCTCATTTCACAAATCTCATACTTATATAAAAGACAACAAATCTTAATAGTCTCATTTTACAAATCTCATACTTATATAAAAGATAGCAACTCTTAATAGAAAAATACAAGAAATTATATTGAAAAAAAAAAGTACAGCAAAGGAAAGGGTGAAAAAAAATATCAAAGGAAGTAAAGCAAAGTAAAAAAAAAGAAAGTACATGAGTTCAATGTTTTCATTTCGTCTAAATAATTACAATGACAAGAAAGTCAGTGTAATTTTCTAAATATCAAAAAGTGATATATATTAAACCTAAATTTCAAGATTGTAAATGTAATTTGCCCGATAAAAATTATGATTGTTTTGTGTAAATTAATCAAACCAACACTTACAATACTAGTGGCAGTGGTATGTCATCTTTTCATCCAAACAGGGCTAACCTTCTGTTTGGATCGTGAGGTGAGGTGAGGTGAAAAAATAAATTATTATTATTATTATGTTTAGATGAATAGAAAATAAGAAAATGTAATTTCTTACTTATTTTGTTTAGATTGAGTAAATGAGTAAAAATAAAGGAAAATATTTTATTTTATTTTATCAAAATAACCTTTTATATTAACAAGATATAATTTTTTTTAAAGGTAATTTTGATATTTTAGAAAATTTTCATTACACCCAATTATTTTATCATCAAATATCACTACTTTTGTGAGAAACAAAATACAGGTATAGTGTGAGTCATTTTCTTACCATTTTTCACAAATTTTCAAACACTTAACGATTACCATTTTTCACAAATTTTCAAACACTTAACGATTCAAACAAGTGAAAGGATTTCAAATTGTTATAGTAAAGGTTGTTTACATAAAAAAAAGAAAAAATCATCGAACGTATAAATATTAAAACAAATCATATTTTATTTTATAAAACAAATAATAAATATAATTATAAACTTAAACTATATATTATTCAAAAATATATTTATAATTATTCAATAAAATTAATTTTCTACATGTGGAATTTTTCGATAAGGCGTCAGAAGTTAAAAAAATAAAATAAATAAGTGTGTGAAAAGACATGAAGAGATAATGTTTGGTTTGTATTTGGGAGATGAGTTTTAGAAAAAAAAATTCTAAAAAATTGTTTGGTTTGAGTTTTTTTCAAAAAAATTTCAAAATCACTTTCTCTCTCTTACATATCAATCAATCACTTTTTCTCTCTCATCTCTCCTTTTCAATCACTTTTTCTCTCTCATCTCTCCTTTTCAATCACTTTTTCTCTCACACATACCTACTTAAATTCTCTCAAAATATCAAATCATCCCAAACTTCTAAAAAAATAACTCTCCCAAAATATACAACCAAACAAACTAAAAAAATTTCTAAACTCTCTCTCTAAATTTTTTTTTAAAAACAACTCCCTCAAAATCAAACCAAACGAACGGGAATGTAACTTATCTCAAAAGTTAATTTTGAAGGTTATCATGAATGTGTATGTTTTTCATATAATTATTTAGGATTTAACTTTTAAAATTAGTTATAAAAAAAAAAATTGTAAATTTTCTAATCCTAACATGGATGACCGACCTATCTTTACCTGTATTGAAGAGAGAATTAATCGAGATATCCATGAGCTGACTCGTACTGCAGAGAAGAAAAATTAAAATAAAAAAAAACACCCTTATCCCAAAAGTTGACTGTATCAAAAAAATAAATAAAATAAAAAAATATATATAATTATTTAGAGTCAATATTGGCGAGTATAGAAATGCATATACATGAAGCGCGTACAACTGTCACTCCTTAATAATTAAATATTCAGACGGGTAAGTTCACCACCGGGAACTACAGGGAATTTGGTGTGGATTACAAAAGATATTATAATTTATTTTAATTTAAAAAAATTTGCAGGATTATTTGGGGTAGTTTTTATTTTTATTTTTAAGTAAAAATATTTTAAATAAATTAAAAAAATTAATTGATAAAAATATTTCTATTTTTTAATAATTAATTTTTAATTTACAATAAATTGCACAACAACACCACTGCTGCCTACTTGACTTCGCATCCGTACAAAACCCAACTCCTAGCTCTCACCACCTCTGATAGTCTCACATACTCTTTGACTTTAGACTATCTCTTTCTCGATCTCTCTATCTGTATTCCCAGACCCAATGGAGGTCGACACACAAAGGATTTCTAACTGTAACTTCGATCCCAACTCCAATCCACCACCATTCTCTTACTCCGTCAACCTCGCTGCTTCCGAGTTACGGGGCTCCGAAATGCTCAACTCTCCGCCGCCCGATCGACGTTCTCAATCCGACGGTGAACCGGCCAATGAAAAGTCCAGTGCGGCCATGAAGCTGCAGAAGGTTTATCGGAGTTATCGCACCAGGCGCATGTTAGCCGACTCCGCTGTAGTTGTGGAAGAACTCTGGTACGTCTTCAAGACTTCACTTCAATGCCTCTGTTTTGCTTATTTACAGTAGAGATGTTTATATATATAACTATGCTTTTGAAGGTGGCAAGCGATCGATTTTGCTCGATTGAATCACAGTACGATTTCATTCTTCAATTTCTCCAAACCAGAGACCGCAGCTTCTCGCTGGAGTCGAGTCAGGTTGAATGCTTCCAAGGTCATCTGCTTCTTCTTCTTCTTCTTCTAAATTTTTCCCCCAATTCAGTGTGATTTCTAAAAATAATTATAAAATCATCTGTGGTAAACTCTTACATCATTAATAACCAAACTCTTTTTAATTTTTTCATGACTCTGTAATAATTTTCTGAAAATACCAGTTAATCTAATAATTTTCATGTATTTAGAAAAAGACAAGTAATATTATATGTGTTCACACAAGTGACTTAAAGATTATCATGTTAATTGGCTTGGTCAGGTTGGTAAGGGTTTGTCCAAGGACGCCAAAGCACAGAAATTGGCTTTCCAACACTGGATTGAAGCTGTAAGTTTTCTTACTCATTCTCCATGGATGGTCCAAAGGGGAGCAACCTTCAAAGATTGGAAAAAAAAAAAAAAAAAAACCCTTATTTTATTTGTGATTACAATGAATCTCAATTACAATCATGTAGAATAAATCAACAATTACATATAAACTCTCAAAATGGCTGAGAGTCCCCAAATAAAAACGGAGGAATAAACCACACCCAGATGTGAAAGAATTGAATTCTTGGCCTCGTAATGATATGCAAGAGTTTTGGTCAAATGGGCTAACCCCGTTGGTAAACCCACTTATTTATTAGATAGTACTATTTATCAAATTATATCAGTTTGCTCCCCAAGACAATTTTTTTATTTATTGCTTTTTTGAAAAATAAGTATTAAGGACATGTACAATTTTTGTTGTTGCATATACACTGGCCTTTGAGGTTATAATCATGTGTACACCCTGCTGATCTTTTACATCACCCTTTTCTCGTTAGATTTTGTTTGTGGTATTATTACGCCATATCAAGATTTGTAAATATTGTTTTACAATTTTGTGAACATTTTAGATTGATCCGAGGCATCGTTATGGGCATTCCTTGCACATATATTATGAAGAGTGGTGTAAAACAGATGCTGGCCAACCGTTCTTCTATTGGTAAGACAAGTTTGCTTTTTAGTGATCAGATTTTATTCTAATTTTATATTTGATATAGTCTCTTTGGAGGAGTAGCTCCTAATTCCTTCAATGAAAAGCAGGAGAGGCATCTGTTTTAACAAAAGATAGGCACCAACTCATTAATAGTTAATTGCCTTAGTGGGAGCAAGAACTGCAGTTCATGTTTTGCAAACCTCCCTTTGTCCGTTCATGTTTTGCAAACCTCAACCTGTAGGCTTTTGGAATAAATTATGCAATGAAAAAAAATTTAAAAAGTCATATCTTGCCATGTATACGGTCAAATAAAATGGTGATTATAATTAGTGATGTATAACACTCCTCATAAAGAAATTCTGGCTATATCCAACAATAAACTTGACTGCTGGTTAAGAAATTAAGGTGACCCATGTGTCCTAATCTTGAGCAGAATTTGAAAATTGTAACTAAACTAGGTTCATGACTATAATTGATTGCTCATCGTAATAATCAAGAGAGCTAATGATGCTAGGGATGCCTAACGAAGTTACCTATTAATGTATGCCCTTAATTTGAGGGGGGAAAAAACCTAACTTTTCAATCAATGTCACGCTTGACCTGGCAATTTCACCCAATGAACACAATTAGGCTAACAAGCTTAGTATAATCAGCATTTTGTTTATGTCCAATACTGAATTTGAAGCACAAATGTTTTCATACTAGTGGGTGGGTCTCATACGGTACATTTTTCTTTCTTAGGTAAATAACTGTTGCATCATTTGATTTTGCAAGTGATTACCTAGATTAAATGATGTATCATTAAATCAAATAATTTATTTACTTTTTAATTGATGCCAATTTACAGGCTGATGGAAGTAAGATAGGAAATTAATACAGAACAAATTTGCTTGCATATCATTCGTATGCCACTTATTGTTGTTGGAGAAATATCTTGTAATTCAGGAATAGTTGAAAGTGATAACAACAAATTGCAGAGGCTTATATTTTTCTCTCATTTGGTGTTCTGATGCATTGACAGATTGTAGAGCATATTGTTATCTCAAGTGCGTATGCCACTTATTGTTGTTGGAGAAATATCTTGTAATTCAGGAATGGATGGAAGTGATAACAACAAATTGCGGAGGCTTATATTTTTCTCTCATTCGGTGTTCTGATGCATTGACAGATTGTAGAGCATATTGTTATCTCAAGTGAATCAGATGCTGAAAACATTCTTAATTCTGCTAATTGCAGGTTGGATATTGGAGATGGCAAAGAGGTTGATCTTAAAGAATGTCCAAGATCAAAGCTTCGGCAACAATGCATCAAGTATCTTGGACCTGTATGTGCTCTCATGAATCAGTTTTTCTCGATCTCCATTTTGAAATTATATTCTGATTGCGTATTTCAAACTGTATTGAACTGTTAGCTATTAATTTTTATCCTAATACATGCTCTCTCTATCTGTTCTTCTTTTTTTTTTTATGTGGTTGGTTTTTTTTGGGGAAAATCAGCAAGAGAGAGAATATTCTGAATATATTGTTGTGGAGGGGAAAATAGTGCACAAACGATCTGGAAACTTTCTTAATACAAACAAAGGAATGAAATGGATATTTGTGATGAGCACCTGCAAGAAACTTTATGCTGGTCAGGTGAGACCTAAATGAAAAGCAGAATCACTTGTTCAGTGGTTTTCTAATATTTTGTTCACTTCTATTGTGGTTTGGAGCCTAATATGTTTATTGCCTTCAGAAAAAGAAAGGAATATTTCATCATTCCAGCTTCCTTGCTGGAGGGGCTACTATAGCTGCTGGAAGGCTTGAGGCAGAGGATGGAACACTTAAGGTACTGGAAACACATTATTAAATTTTCCATTGCATTCATTGCTTTACTTATCCTGAAATTTACTTTATGTTAACTCTTTGTCATTTGATCCTAATTGATTTCCCAGCTCTCAATTTTTCCTGGCCATGATAATCAAATTTTGGTTTGATCAGTAGGCAGTAATTTTTCTTAAAAAAATTCCATGTTTGACACCAATTCTATCATGTATGTTTTGAGGGTTGTACAATTAGGACATGATTTTGAAAACCCTCCCTCAGAATTTTATAATTATTCCGACTTTCTGTCAGTTTCATGGAAAATCTTAGCAGCTCTCTCTCTTATCTGATTGCAACTTCTTTTATTGATTTTCTCTAGAAGATAGAAATTAAATTTCAGTTTCAAATATTTCAGTCTTGGACATTAGCCTATTAAACAACATATTTCATCATATATAAGAGCGGCGGCTTGTTCAGTTTAGAACTTTCAATTTAATGTAACAAAAACAAGTATCTTCATTGCCTCTACATCAGTTGCTATTATCAATGAAGCTATAACGCACATCAAATGTGCATGGTCTGTTTATTGCAATTATCATGTTCACACATGCACATGCATCTAAGCGCATTCCCATTCCTTCTGCAATTGGCGTGAGTTTTGAATTACTTTGGTTTTTGGTCAGTAGTAGGATTGAGAGTAGCTTGAACTTTGATCAGCCCGAAGCAGAGGAGGCTACATTGATTTTTTTATTTTTTTTATTTTTTCTGAACAGCCCGAAACAAATGATTCAATTTCTAATCAAGGTTTTCATACCTCTTGTGTGGTGAACATAAGACATTACTTTTTGTTTGCAAAACAAAATGCATACAGGCACACATGCATTTCCAAACACGACCAAACCTGATTGTGATAAATATGGGGAATTATAGACTATTCCTAGAGTACCGCGTGTCTGTACTCCATAACTAATCATTATTTATTATGCCCCTCATGTTGCTCAATCGCCCAACATAATACTCCACTTATCCACCTTCTTCACCAATTACAATGCTATGGAATACTCCGTGTCTATATTCCAGGATTACTGAATAATTACCCGATAAATACTCTCTATAGCATCTGATCTTTGACTGCTTTTTATTTTATTTTTTCAGTCCATATCACCATACAGTGGACATTACCGCCCATCTACTGAAAGCCTTGATGGCTTTTTATCATTTCTGAAGGAAAATGGAGTCAATCTTGATGAAGTTGAAGTACGTGACATCACAGTCCAGTTTGTAGAGCTTCTGGATATCCATTATTTATTTTTCATTACCTACGCTTGCCTGATGGTATTTTTTTCCGGTATCTTTTCATTATCAGATACACAAAGCCAATGAGGATTACGAGAACTTTGAAGAGAGCAAATCGATCAAAGAAGAGTTTGCAGCTGAACTTTTAACAAACTCAGAACCCCCTCAACCTGATACTTCCATGGAAGAGAAAACAGATGTATCCACGGAACTGAGAGTGGCTCTGCAAATTGATACCAAGAACAATTACAAAAGGACTCTTTCTGGTGGTCTTCAGAGCCCAAGAGCTGAGGTGCCCAAGACAGCTATATTGGAAAGAATTAATTCCAAGAAGGCAGCCAGGTCATACCAGTTAGGTGATCAACTGTCACGGAAATGGTCAACCGGTGCTGGTCCAAGAATCGGTTGTGTTGCTGACTATCCTGTGGAGCTGAGGGTACAAGCCCTCGAGTTTGTTAACCTCTCTCCAAGAACGCCGCCAACACCGTCAACCTACAGGCGTATGGGTGGTCTTGTATCGCCTACCGTGTGTCCTGAATCGGATCTCTATAATAAAGGTCATTCAATCTCCACTGTCTAGATCTGTATTTTCTTCCACTTCCAACTTTTCATGCTGCATGCTTCGAGGCTTTTAATGTGTAAAATGTAAATTCCTTATGTCTGTATGTCACTTAAGCCTTTTTAAGCTAATACTAGTCTCATCTTAATTTCATCTAATCTTGGTACAAATTTGCATTAATGTTGACTCCACTTTCTTCAAATGCCAACTGATAGTGAAATTTCACATTTTCGTCTTTTTAGTTTGTTCCCAAGGGGTGTTGTCGGACCTGTTAGGTTGGTCCAAAGAAGGCTTCCTTTGGATTTTGTTGCTCCCCAGTTTGTGGAGCGGTCGGTTGTTAACTGATTGAGCCTGACCAAGCCCTTATCCTAATTAATTTTCGGGTTCGTATGGTGAACCAAATGCATCTAAATATAGAGGCCCCAAACTTTCGTAGAATTGTTGGGTTGTAGTTTTTTGGGCTTCCACTTACTAATGACCCAAGAAAAGATAAAAAGACAATTCTAAGAAATGTTGGACTTGATGAAAATAAGGGATGAAAAATTGGAGTACTTTGTTATTATCAAGTAATGTAAAGGGTGTATAGCTTTTAGACGTGGCTTCGTTTGACTAGGATTTTTTTTGGATTAAAAAACGTACAAAACATAAAATAAGCTAAATAAGTCAATAAGATAATATGTCACATTTAAATCATAATCATTTTAATTTTTTCTCATAAAAATCAAAAAAATCAACCTAAACGAACTTCTTAATTTCAACTTAAAAAAGTTAACTAAAAAAGTTTTTGCCAAACGACAATACATTGGATGGAAGAATAATGATTTATCTCCTAATTTTGCTCCTCCAATACCATCTCTAATAATGTGGAATTCAGAAGGCTAAAGATGAGAGAGAGAGAGAGAGAGTGTGGGGTCACTTTATATGAGAGTAGGTCATGTCATTAGAGATGGAATTGAGAGATAGAATTAGAGAATACCAATTAAATTTTAAAATTGATTAAAAATGAATCTTAATGTCAAGTAGGAAAAACTTGACTTATCATTCAATGCTAAATATAATGAGGAGAAGGTAGTATTCTTTTTCACAATAAGTCACTAACATATTTATCTTCAAATGAGTCGGTTTGGGAAGTCTGTTTTTTAAAGTTAACTAAAAAAGTTTTTGCCAAACGACAATACATTGGATGGAAGAATAATGATTTATCTCCTAATTTTGCTCCTCCAATACCATCTCTAATAATGTGGAATTCAGAAGGCTAAAGATGAGAGAGAGAGAGAGAGAGTGTGGGGTCACTTTATATGAGAGTAGGTCATGTCATTAGAGATGGAATTGAGAGATAGAATTAGAGAATACCAATTAAAATTTAAAATTGATTAAAAATGAATCTTAATGTCAAGTAGGAAAAACTTGACTTACCATTCAATGCTAAATATAATGAGGAGAAGGTAGTATTCTTTTTCACAATAAGTCACTAACATATTTATCTTCAAATGAGTCGGTTTTGGAAGTCTGTTTTTTAAAATATTTTTTTGGTTAAAAGATGAGATGAAAAAAATTAATATGTTTAAACATATTTTTTTAATTTTTTATTAAAAAAATTATACAAAAAAGTAGAGTGAATGAGAAGACTCTAGGGTATTTGAGATGATTTAAATAAATATATGACAAATTACACTAACGATCCCTATAATTTAGGACTTGTGTTACTTTGGTCCCTAACTTTTTAGTTGCAACACACTTGATCCTAAATTTTGAATCTTGTTCTAAATAAAGATAAGGAAAATTTACCCATAAGTCCTAGTTTTTGAAAAGTTGAACCATTTAGTCCTAAAAGTTTTCTTATGTTCCATTTAGTCCCATTTGCACATCAATCTAATGTTTGAAACATTAATCTAATGTTCGAAATCAAATGTTCGAAACATTAATCTGATGTTCGAAATCTAATGTTTGAAACATTAATCTGATGTTTGAAACATTGTAATGGGACCTTTCAGTCTATAAGAAAACTTTTAGAACTAAACAGTGTATAAGTTATTAATTTGGGATTTATTAGTGCATCCCCTAAAGATAATTGCAAATACCATTGCTTAATTTCAATGAAAAAATCGTCAATTTGATAAAATCTAAACTAATTTGACAAAAATAAATGTCAAAAAAATATTTTTGAATTTTTAAAAATTATTTGTACCCATTAAAGATAAAATAATATAAAATTGATAAATCTTTTAGATATTTATTTATTATCAAATTAATTTTTATTATGTGTTTGGACGATAATAATGTAATGGGTTGTTGAAAAAAATAACTCAGTATCATAAAAAAAAAAAAAAAAAATCTTAGTGTTTATTGTGCTTTTTATTAATCAATAATTTATTTATTCATTTATAAATATTAAGAGAATTACATTTAAACAAATTCTAATATAAACTTTTTTATGTTAAAACTTTAAGACATGCACATTTTCATTGAAACTATAATTAATTTTTAAGATAGTAACTAAAATAAATTTTAATCATTATTATATGGAGAGGCATGTATAATAAGAGTTTGTAGTACACAATTTTAAAAAATAATATTAATTCAAAATTTTTAGTATAAAAAATATATACCTAACTTTATGTTATGTTTGATTCATAAATTTATATAGGAATTTCGAATGAGAAATAAAAAATATAGGTGAAATATGAATGAAATATAATTATATTTTATCTAATTTCATACACCTTTCCATTCCCCTTTCAAAATTTCTACCCAAAACTATAAACCAAACATATTATCAATGTTTGAAAGGAGTTTTGGATCCTTTATTGTATTTATATATATTATCTACAAAAAAACTATATAATATTTTGTGGGAGAAACTAATTCTTAAAATGGATCATCAATCACATTATAAGAGAATAAAAGCTAACCAATAATTTTTTTTAAAATTATGTGTGTGGCCGGAAAAACCCTCCGACGATCAAGTTAGCACACACCTTAGGATGGATAGAGAGAAGGGAGAGAGTGTTTGAGTGTAAGAATTCCTTACAGAGATGTTCGTGTGTGCCGTATGGGGGGCGCAGACATGCTTATATACCTTCTGAGCCCCATATCCACTCCCAGTCGTCTCCTGACATGTGGCTCTGCTATCCCATCTGTCAGCGTAAACCTTGCCGATCATCACCTAATCTCAACTGCCTGACTTCACAGCTGGAGCTCGGCAGCCGAGCTGCTCTACCACAGCCATGCCATGCTTCATACCCAACCGCCTAACCAGATAAACACATAGAGGATCGGGCTAGGCGGCATCCCGGCAGTGCCTAGCCCGGGTGCCTCCTGTGGTTGGCCTTCCTACCGGTCAAACAGTCTCCTCCGTTGACCACACCTTTCCGGGCGCCGGTCACTCAGCTTGTCTGGCTTCAGCCATCCCCTGATCAGGCAGCTCGGTCCAACCAAGCGCTATCTAGCCGAGCTCCTTCTTGGGCCAGGGCGACACACACTTGGTACAAGTTCTGCCCGGCTCAAGCTCTGGCAGCCCACTTCTTGGCAAATAATTTATGGAATAAATAAATTGATTCTAATGTTTTAGTAGTACAAAAACTAAATTTTAAAACTAATTCTTTTCAAATTTCTAAATTTAAATTATTAAATGGATTAATTAACTTTCATTTTTAAATGTGTAAATCAAGGCATAATAAGATTTTTTTTTTAACTGATTCAATAAAAATTAGAAGATTTTTTTTAAAAAATTTAACTGATTCAATAAAAATTAGAAGATTTTTTTAAAAAAAATTTATAACGGTTAGTTAACTTTCTTTTTCAAAATTTTAAATTTAAAATTATAAATGGATTAATTAACTTTCCTTTTGAAATGTGTTAATCAAAGTATAATAAGATTTTTTTAAAATCATTCAATAAAAGTTAGAAAAAAAAATTAAATTTAAAACTGATTAGTTAATTTTTTTTTAAAAAAAGTTAAATTGAATTTTATAAATGAATTAATTAATTTTTTTAAATGTGTAAATCATAGCATAACTATAAATTTTTTTAATGATTCAATTAAATTAATTAATAATTTTATTTTAATTATTTAAAAAATAATAGGATAGTTTTGAGTTTGTATTATTTACAAGTTGTTACGCCGTTCAAATGATAGGCAAGTTGAGACTGGTGTTGGTATGGGTCCAATGAGAATGGGAGACCCACGAGGCTTACTTCACTCTGATGATGCACTTTTTACTGTCTCCTCCATGAAGATCATCACTTCAAGACAACTTTGCAACTTGCACAAATCTCATTTATATCTCTCTCCTCTAAAAATAGAAAATTCAGAGACAGATTCTCAGACAACCGTAATAGCCGGCATGCTTCATTGCATGGAAACGTTATTTTCATTAACAATAAACTAGTGTTTCACCCTTGATATACATGAGAGTTGTGTTGATAATTATTTTTATATATATGAATTGAAATTTTTAAATAAATATATATTTTTACACAAAAAAAAGAATATAACAAATATAATATATCTTTAATCTATTATTTTATATTTTTTTATTTAAAATTTAAAATAATGTACGGGTAAAATTTATAACTAAATTAAGAAAAAAACTATTTCTAACGATATTTTTTTCTTCTATATAAAATACTTAAAAAAATAAGCCTGAAAAAAGTAATCAATATAATATTATACATTGAGTAAAAAAATGTGGTTAGCAATTATGCTTACATAAATTTACTATAGTTTTAATTTCAAATTTAAAAAAATATATATTTTAAAAGCATTTTATTTAATTAGTACCAACTAAAATTTTCTTAGCAAAAATGAAAGTTATAAAATTTTGTTACAAATTTTCAAATGTTTATTGTTAAACATTTGATTCTACTTGCTTGTTTGTTTGTTTGCTTACTTTGAGAGTTTTGATCTTTAATTTTAACTCTACATTCATCGTATTGTTTTATTGCTTGATTTTCACATATACTTCTTTCATAATGCATCTCTGAGTGTATTAGTGAAAATATCGTATACTTAAAATGCACAAATCTATATATTATATAAGGAAAATAAGATTTTGGTGAGAGTTTCAATATTTCATACTAATTTTCTTAATTTTAAACAATTAATAAAATCTCCATTAGCTAACTTTTATTTAATAATCTCACATCGGGAGAAGAAAGAAAAAAAAATTTGTTTTACT